CCACACAGACTCCTGCACTCACAGGAAGACAGCAGCATGAAGACGTCATGCTGGGGCCGGCGCTGTGGCGTAGCAGGCTAAGCTGCCACCCGCAGTGCCGGCATCCCATGTGGGCGCCGGTTTGAGTCCCCGCTGCCCTGCTTCTGATCCAGCTCCCTGCTAACGGCCTGGGACAGCAGCAAAGGATGACTTAAGTCCTTGGGCCCCCTGTACCCATGTGGGAGACCTGGAAGAAGCTCTTGGCTCCTGGCTTGGACTGGCCCAGCCCCGGCGGTTGCCACCATTTGGGGAATGAACCAGTGGATGGAAGATATCTCTCTCTCTCTCTGTCTCTCCTCTTTCTCTCTCTGTTTCTTTGCAACTCTGACTTTCCAATACATAAGTAAATCTTTAAAAAAAAAAAAAGGTGTCATTTTTCTTCATACCTAAAAGACTTGGACAATAGCTAGAAAGGTGGTATCTTACCTCACCAGAGCAAGACACATTATAAAGACAGAATAATTTTTTTTAACGTGGTGTCTGGACAGAAGTAGGAAAAAAAATCATGACAAAACAGAATAGAGATCTCAGAAGTAGATCTACAACTTTTTGGACTGAACTTGGTAACTGAACCTAAAATTCATACGTAGACTGAAAGGCCCAAATAGCTAACTACGTTATATAAAGCAAAATTCAGGTAGAGAAATTGATCTACACATTAGTGACTCAAGTCTTGATACAATCATCAGTCAATGAGGTATTTGTGAAGTACAAACTTGGCAATTCCTGATATTTAGACTTACAAGTCTTAAAATACACTGTTCGAGTCAATGAGCTCTTTGTGAGGCACAGACAAATAAATGAACCGTGTCCCTCCCTCACCAGAACAATTCATGTGTTGAGTGAGATTACATTTGGACACACAGCTTTTAGGAAGCAATCAAGGTCAAAGTAAGGTCAGAGGCCGGGTCCTCAAAACTTCAGTCAGACCTGTGCCTTCGAAGAAGTAGAGAAATCTTGCTCTCCCATAAGGACCCAGAGAGGTGCGGCCTCACCCAAAGACGGCCCTCACCGAAACCCAACCACAACCTCAGGTTTCTAGAATGTTCGAAAATAAGCATCTGTTCGTTAAGTCATTTACTGTATGGTATTTTGTCCCCACAGCCCAGGTAGACCAAGAAAACCAATAAAACAGAATAAGCAGCCCAAAAACAGATCTACATATAGTTGACAGAATTGGGATCACAAGCCATCGGGGAGAACTACTCATGTATTAAATTAATGATATGAAACTTCTGACTGTGCACATGGAAAAATTAAATTTGAACGCCTAACTCACAACAGACAAAAAATAAATCCAAAGAAGCTTAAAGAAAATCTACCTGGGAACGGCAGAACGTGAGGACATTTAGAGAAAACACACAAGATCTTTAAAACCTGGCAGGGAAAAGAATCGTTTACAACAAAAAGCTGCTCCTTAAGAAAAAGTACAAGTCATAAATGAAAACTCGGTAAATTTAACCAGATTAAAAATGAAAAAATAGGAGCCAGCGCTGCGGGTCCTACCTTTTAGATTGGAAGCAAGATGCAGGCAGTTGGCACTCAACAAAGCTGGCGTGTGGACTCTCGCGAGGCTTGTCTGATTCCCAAATACTGCGGAATTTGAGATTATCTTTACTGATCAACCTGAAACCTGAGTACACTGTGAAAACAAATTTTAATAAAAAAAAAAAAAAAAAAAAAAAACGACTACATCCACCCAACGTGATCACTCACAATTCCCCTGTGGTGCCACCGAACCCAGCACAGCGCCCAGCTCCGGGGAGGGAATACAGCCCACGAGAGGCGGAAGCAGTCAAGGACAGTGCATCAGCCTGCAAGTGAGGGTGTGCTGAACCCTGCATGCGGCCTTGTTAACTGTGATTGACACGGGCGGAACCGCAGAGCAAACACAGGAGGAAGACAGGACGATGAAGAAGCCGCCCTGGAGGAAAACAGGGCACGGGAGAGTTTTCACAAAGGAATCGCTGTCCGCGGCAAGAAATGACCAACAGGGAGAGTGGGCACTGAGCCGAGGGGGTAAGACACCTACGCCCCCGGCGCCGCAGTCCCTGAGTTCAATTCTGGCCCCACTCCTGACTCCGGCTTCCTCCTAATGCAGACCCTGGGAGGCAGCAGGCGATGGCCCAGGGGACTGGATTGCTGCTACCTACATGGATCGCGTGCCATCGGGGTCTGGCCCTGGCCCTGCCGTCGTGTGCATCTGGAGAGGGAATTAGCAGATGGGAGCTAGCACACATTCTCTCTCTCTCTCCCTCCCTCTCTCTCTCTCTCTCAATTAATGGGGAAAGAAATCAAGAACATATTGGAAAAACATGAAAACTTACATAAAATGGGATTTAAAAGGGAACTTGCAAAATTCAGGAAACACATAGCCCAAACACTTCCACAGCACAAATACATAAATTAGAAATATAAATTAGAACAGACTTGTAAGCTTAAACAGTAATACTGAGAAATAGCATTAGATAACAGCTAATTAAGAATCAAAGAATAAATAAAAAAGACAAAGACCGAAATCTAGACAACAAACTCAATGCTGTTCTCCGGGTATCAGTTACCGTACTGCAATCCTTCTGCTGTTCGGAATATTTGCGCCACAAAAGTGGCCATCATCACTTTGGTCTATGCAGCACTTGTATGCTAGGCACTGCGGAAGGGTTCATGTCTAGGGAACCAGTCAGCTGCCACTACCACCCCTGTGAAATCAGTGCGACTGTTACCTCCGACTTCTAACAAGTAACCAGGCAGATCTGGGACTGGAACCCCCGCATCGCTCCAGAGCCAGGGTTCCCAAGTAAGCGAATGAACCCTCAGCCACTTGTCTGCCTAGCCCGTCTCCAAAGGGCTCCTGGCTCTTTGTCTTCGACTAAGGATGCTCTAAATGAGATAGCAAAGTTCTGGCTCAAGTGCAATTCAACAGAATCTCACTCTTTACTCTCTCACCTCCTGATCTACCCGTCAATGTCCTAACTCACAGGGCCCTGGCCTTTATGCTGCCTCTCTGGGCACAGACCCAAACAACTCCTCGCACAGGCCAAGATAAGGAAAAGAGTTTTGCAAACACAACAGGGGCCGAATTCCTAGCTTAACAGCACCCCCTCCTTAAGCCAAACTCAGAAGGGCCCACAGTCAGGGGGGTTTCCCGGGAGCAGGGAGGGGCAGCAGCCTGCAGCTCTGGGAAGCAAAGAAAGGCCAAGAGAACCACGTCCCACGGGAGGCTGCACACCCAGGCTCAGCCACCCGCCGGCTCTGGGGCAGGGCCAGGAGCAAGGCCGTGAGCTCCCAGCCAGCTCCCACAGCGGGCGGCCCAGCAGTTCCAGGAAAAGCCCCCTCCTGGTCAGCATCCCAGGTGCCTGGGGAGAGAGATGGCAAGAGCCAGGCCGCGTTTCAGAGCCAGTGGAGCCAGGACTCAGAACTACGACGTAGTCCTGGCAGAAAACCAAGGCGCAACTTGATCGAAGACCCTGTCAAATGGACAAGCGTGCACAGAGGCGAGGAGGGCTCCCCTGGGACACAGGGGTCTGGGCTCTGAGCCTAAGCAAGGCCAGGCCCCTGGAAGGAGTGGATGGAGCCCTGGACACGGCTCAGCATGAGCAGCGGCCCTGGGGAGGGAAGGCTGCCCCCTGGCGTCCGTTGCAGAAGGGATGGAGAGCAGCAGCCACACGGGGACACTTGGCCAGAGCAGGGATACAGAATCTCATAGCATCAAATATTAAAGGTGGACCTTGTTGCTTCGCAGTGAAAGGACACTCTGCACGGAAGGACCTTCGCAGAGACAGGACGAGCAGTCCCTGTCCACTGTCGGAGGCGGCAGCCCAGGGAAGTCCCCGCTTTCTGAGATGCACTTCCGGGACCAGTGGACCTCACAGGGCGCTCCTCCCTAAACACCACCGCGGGCTGAGTATCTGGAAACTGACCTTGATGAAAATCCTAGAGAAAATGAGCCCATGCGGAACGAGATGGGAAAAATGAAAGGTAGGAAACTGGCATTAACACAGATGCAGCCAGGTTCACAGATTACACGCACAAAAGGCGGGGCATCACCAAAACTGTGGAATTTAACTGAGATAATTCACTATGCATAAGGGACAGGGCAGAGTCAGCGAGGCTTACCCGCACATCTGACAAAGAATCGCCCACATCCACAAAACACCGGCCAGCAGCGCCCCCAGCCCAGCAGTCAGGGAACGGGACGTCTCCCGGGAGCCCCCCCTTTCTGATTTCCACTCCTCTGCCTCCTCCTTCAGCAAGAACGGGAACAGGGAATGACAGAGACGCAGACAGGAGAAAATGCTAATATTTGCGGGAGGTCGCCGTGTGCGTGAGGATACACATATGTTTGCCGTGGCAATATGCAAAGCCAGAGTGGAAAACGATCCTACAGCATCTGATTACCGCAGGCTTTCTGTTATCTGGGAGTTGGACTAAAAGCACCCAAAGTCAGAAACCTAAACAGACAAACAGGAACAGGAGGGGCTTGGGGCAGTCCTGCAAGTGGAAACACTTGCGTGCGGCTGCCCACGCACAGGTACAGCCGGAACAGGAGAAAAAAGGCTGAGTTTCTGAACCTTTGGGTACCTGGCCGCATCCAGCGCGGCCCCCGAGACGCCACCGCCGCGCAAAGCCCAGCTGTCACTCAGGGCCCTGCCCGCGGCCACCCCCGCTCTGCGGAGCGGCCCCGCGGCGGGCTGCGGCGGGGCTGCGGGAGGTTCCCGAGTGGGTTCGTTTCCTAACCGTGCGCTGTCCCCGCAGGATGTGAATGTCCTCCGAGGTCCGCCCTGCGCCCACCCAGGACCACAACTTCCTCGGGTTAAGGCTGTGCACGTGAGCGCACGATCCACCAAGTCGGATGAAATGTGGTCTTTTCCATAATTAAGAAGAAGAAGAAACCAGGAGTGCGCGCCCGCGCCCGCGCCCCCCGCGCGCCGGCCCACCCCGAGCCGCCCGCCGGCCCTTACCGTGCGCGCGGCATCCCCGCGGGCTCGGCGCCGCAGCCGGGGGCAGGGGCGCGCTGGCTCCAGGCCGCGGGCCGCAGGGCTCGCTCCGCATTTCGCGGGTGGGCGGAGCGGCGCGCGATGCGCACGGGGACTCTGATAGGTGAGGCGCCGGCGGAGGGCGGGGGCCGGGGCGCTGCGGCGCGCGGTGCGGGCGGCGCCCGCCTCCCCAAGGGGCGAGACCCCGGCGCTGGAGCCTGGGGAAGGCTCGGCCCGAGGCGCCTCGGTCCACGGGCTCCGGGGCCGATCCCCGAAGGCCTCTTCCCGGGGGACAGCCCCCGAGGGCGCCTCAGAGCGGAGCGGAGCAGGCCCCGGGGTCCTGCGGCCCCCGGAACTGACACCGCCCGCCCCGCGCCGCGGTGGGAAGAGGCGCTATTTCCCTAGCAGAGGCGTGAGCGAGCCGAGGTCGGGTAACGGCGCGGGGAGCTGCGGGGGCGGCTTGGACCCCGCCTGGGACAACTTCCATTCTGCAGACGCGAAAAGCGAGGCGCGCGGGGGCCAGGGGCCCGGAGCGGGGCTGGGCCGCGGGGCTGGGCACGACGCAGTGGAGCCCACTCTTCCCTGCCGAGCAAAACACTCCCATAATCGTACACCCCCACGCGCAAAAATATGCACCTGCGTTCTAAGGGCATCACGGCCGTGCCGTCCCATTCCGCGCCCCCCTCCCCCCGCCCTGAGTGCGGCTGGAACCCCTGCTCCCCGCCTTTGAATAAACCTGGCTTATTTTCGGCAGTCTCGGGTCTTGAATCGCTCAGAACAAATGCCACTGCCTGTTTCCCCAGGTTGACCTTTGTGGCCCCCCAAAGATGCAGGAGTGGGGCGAGGGCGTCCCCACCAATGAGGGGACTGTGGAGCCGACTTGGAGAAGAGGAGCGGCGGGGGGAGGCAGGGCGCAGGGGGGGGGGGGGCTGCGGAGCGCCTCCCGCGCGCCGGAGCTCGGTACCGGTGGGGCACGGCCGCCAGCCCAGCACTAAACTCCCACGCGTTTCCGTGCCGTGCGGCGCTGCGCTCTGGGCCCGTTTCCTGGAGCAACCAAAGGGGCGTGGCCCCCGGCCAGGGAGGGCTGGAAGAGGCGGGGAGGGTGGTGGGGCCCAGCCCCCTGCCCTCTGTCTCCCAGACCTTCCCCGAGGCCCTACAAAGCAGCGCGTGGGTTCTGTGCAGGTCGTGGTCACCTTAGCTGGGGCAGTTCCCTGGACCCCATTTGGCCACCTGTGAGATTTTTGTAATAGGGGTACAGGGAAGGTGCAGGAACTCAAGAGGCCGGGGGCCGGTGCGGGGTGGAGCTTAGCCCGGCTGACGCCCCTGAGATGAGCTAGCCCTGCCCGGCCGTGGGCCTTGCACACACCTGTGAGCAAAGTGGAATGACCCTCGTGGTCCAGCGCTCTGACACTGGCCTCTGCTCAACTGAGAGAGGCCCAGGCTGCCATCTGCTGCCTCGCTGTCGGTGGGCGTGGGTGTTGGGCCATGCAAAACAGAGCCTCCCTTCCGGGACCACTTCTGCAGAAGCAGCAGCTGTGGCACTTCCTCCTGCGTCCCCGCGCTGCAGTGAGAGTCGGGTGGGCTCCTAGGCAGGGTGGTCCCCCTGGAAATCTGGGGTGCAGGCTTGTCTTCAGCAAGATCAGAAGTGCCTGCCTGCCCGCTCCGTGGAAGCTTCCGATCTTAGGAGACTAGCAAGGGAGTGGCGATGGGCATTGAACTTGGGGTTCATTGTAAAGTAAACTAGGTATCCCACCCTCCTGATGGCTCTTTGTTTTATGGTGAGAAAAGATGGCAAATCAGGCCTTTTGATGGGTTTTGTCCCTGCCTTGTAACTGAATGTCAATCTGAGTGTCAATTTTTTTTTTTTTTTTCAAAATTGTGCTTAAAAACTCCGCTGTGCCACCAGCCACTTCTGGTGTTTTCCTCCGTTGGAGCCCCTCCATGCCACTCTGCCTGGAGGCTCTGACTGATAAAGCTTCCTTTTAACTCCCCGCTTGTCCGCGTGGGAATTCTTCCATGTGAGACGAAGAAGCGAGGTCATAATATCTTCTCACCGGAACACCACCTCCTGGGGCCAGTGACTGCGGTCACAACTGCCTGCCAGTCAAAAGATCGAGGCTTCCCGTGGCCAGGGGACTCCAAACCGGGCTGGACAAGGCGGGGGCAGGGTTCCTTGTGGTGGAGCCTGCGCCCAGTAGGATGCTTCTTGGGGTTCCTGGCCTCTGCTGTAAGCCAGGCGCACGCACACACACACACACACACACACACACGTTGTGACAACCAAAAGCTTCCCCAGGCTTGCCGAGTGTCTGGTGGGGAGTGCCCCAGGGGAGAATGGCAGCTCCAGTGCCCCCCATAAAGGAGCACTTACTGAGAAGTAGACGGCCACGCCATCTGATAGGGCACCGGCCCTGCCTCCTGCCCCCTGGAACAGGCCTGGCTCATTCCTGTCTCAGGATCCCTGGGCTGCCTCTTCCCTCCAGCCTGGGAACCTGCTCTTCTGCCTGGTACTCCAGGAGCCTGGTGTCACCCAGACCTCGCTTTAGATCCCAACCCCTCCTCCCTGGCCTCATGCCTAATGCACCTGGTCACTCCCGGTCCCTTTATCCCCCAGCTGAGTGCTTCTCCCTGACATTGCCATGGACACCTGTGTGCGCCGTCTCCCCAGCACCGCACGTCCCAGCCGAGTCCTCAGGCTGGTGTTAGTGGAGATCCAGTGGGGTTCTTGTCTTGTGCAAGAAGAATGCAGGCATGAGACAGAGAGCAGTGGGCAGCAAGGTAGCAAGGTTTATTGGGGGTAGGGCATCCGTCAGAACAGAAAGAGTGCCCAGTCATTCAGAACGGGAAAGCAAGGTTACAGAGTTAAATGGAGAGAACACAGCTGGCCGGCCAGGAGAGCGGCGCAGGAGCGCTGAGAGCTGAGCGCACGCAGTCTGTGTGCAGACTGGGGCTTACTAGGGAAAGGGGTCCAGTCTAACCACCACTTCTCCTTCCCCTCCTCCTCCTCCTCCAGGATGAAGGGTTTGTCGCGAGTGAAGCAGGTGGAATTCCTCCCCAGGGGTCACCACTCAGTGCTGGCAGACGGGGGAGCCCACCTGGAGCCCCAGGCAGAGGCGCCCACCCTAGGGCCCTGCCTTGGGGGGAGGCTGTGATGGTTTTGTTGCTGTGTTACCAGGCCAGGTGACCCCTGTGGTGCTGGGGAGAGAGGACTGTCCTGGGAGCTTCCCTGGGGGGAGGCTGGGACCACCTGGAAGGTGACGGGGTCTGGGCAGGACTTTGCAGTGTGAAACCCTGGGCAGGAGGGGAGCTCCTGCAAATGGTATTTTCCTGGGCTAATTTCCTTAAGCTAATTTCTAGCTTCCTACCTTGCACAAGGTGGATGCTGGAGCCGCTGGCCGAGGGCATCAGGGCTGCAGCAGCGGGCACGGGGAGGAAGCGGGGCCTCTCTGCAGGCAACCAAGGCACAAGCTGCTCCTTCCCTCCGCCCTGGGCCTGGTCGGGTGCTCGCACTGTTGAGGGAGCCACCTGCTCTTCACTCATCTCAGAGAAGCGCCGCAGAAAACCCCTGTCTTGCCTATTCCAGAGCCCGAGTGGGTGGCAGGCGTTGGCCTAGCAGTGAAGTCACCTGGTAGGACATCGGCGTACATGGGGGTGACTCTCGGTTCCAGCTCCAGACTGCAGCGTCTTGCTACTGCAGAGCTGGGAGACAGCAGGTTCAAGTGACTGGGTCCCTGCCACCCATGTGGGAGACCTGGCTGAGTTCCTGGCCGGCTCCCTGGTTGGGCTGGTCCCAGTCCCCGCTACTGGGAGGTGAACCAGAGGATAAGAGCTTGCTCACACACTCCCCCCCCACCCCAATAAATTAATTGAAAGAAATTTAATGGAACCAACCAAATCCCATGGACCCTGGTACAAATTTAGGGAACTGAGCACTCTACTAATTAGCGTGACTGCCTGGAGCCCTTCCCAGGCCCACAGCAGTTTTCGAAATGTTCAACAAAGCTCCCCGGTAGAGCAGGTGCAAGGCCTGGGGACTGAGAAGCAGGGGAGGAAGTGGCTGCTCTATAGTCTTGGTGTGCGTGCAGGGAGTGGGGCCACCATCCTGGGGCCCCTGGAGACGCATCACTGCTCCACTGGGGACACTCTGCCCCCATGGGCTGGCCCCGCCTCCCAGGCAGGGTGGTGGGTCCTGCATCTGGTGTGTGCTGTCACAGGGCTGCCCGCACAGTCAGACCACAGCAGCTGTGAGTTACACTGAGACACAAGGTCATGGCCAGTCTGCCCCTCTGGGTTGCGATGAGGGGGCTCCTCTTGCCTGCGAGTGGATGGGACATGGGACAATAATGGGCCCAAGTATCTCCGTCTTCATTCCAGGTTCTCACCCCTCCCCCAGATGAGAATTCAAAGCAGAAGCACAAACACAGTGCACAAGTGAGAACAGGGTTTATTTAAGAGAGAGAAAGTGAGAGAGGTGTGTGTGTGTGGATATGCATTCTCGCGTGAGTGGGGGCCACCCCACAGGAGAGACCCCTGCCATGTGCGATCCAGAGGAGGGGGACAGAGGAGGCCAGAGGAGGAGCCATAAGCAAGGTCTAGAGAGACAGCAGGGCCCCTCCCACGTCATCAGTCTCTTTTATGCGATGGGGGTGGAGCCCTCGTTGAGTATACAAACAGGGTGGGGTCTAGCGTGGGTGAGGCTTTCTGGGGGCTTCATGGCGCCTCCACGGGGAATTTAACTTCCTCATGGCCATGATGGCATCTCCTCCTTCCTCGTCCGGGGTGAGACGCAGGTGAGTCACCGCGTACTGGACTGACAGGGAGTGGAGCAGAAATCCAGCTCATGGCTTCCTCCCTGATCTTCCTGCCCAGTTGCCCCGTATCAGGACTACACCTGCCCAGATAACAAAGATCCGTGTTCAGAGTGGAACCACAAAGGGAAGCCTGCGCTGGTTAACAGCCGGTCGGACTAATGGAGGGGCTGCCTCTGGGTGGCCCCCGGGCATCTCTAAAAACCAGCTCTGAGGTCCAAAGAAAAGCACAGCACTCAGTGTATAAACTTGCATCAGTACGGTGTTTTCAAAAGACTTATTGATTTATTTGAAAGGCAAAGAGAGAGGAAGGAAGGTGGGGGTGGAGAGAGGGAGGGAGGGAGAGACCTTCCCTCTGCTGGTTCATTCCCCAAATGGCTACAATGGCCAGGGCTGGGCCAGGCCGAAGCCAGGAGCCAGGCCTCCCACATGGGTGCAGGGCCCAAGCACTTGGGCCGTCTTCTGCTGCTTTCCCAGGGCATAGCAGGGAGCTGGATGGGAAGTGGAGCAGCCAGGACTTGAACTGGTGCTCACAGGGGATGCTGGCGCCGCAGGCA